AAACCCAGGGCCTCGAGCATGCAAGGCAAGCGCTCTACCACTGAGCCACCTTCCCAGCCCCTGAACCGCTGATTTTGAACCGAGATCTTCAGATCTCAGCCTCCTGAGTAGCTAGGATTGCAGGTGTGAGCCACTGGCGCCCCGCTTGGTAGGCTTCTAACTCCCACTTCTCATAACCATTCTGAAGTTCTTTTTTCTTCTTGTGATGTGAAGCCCAGATACAACTACATCACTTTCCTGCTTCTTGAACCCTCCTCATTCCTTATCTTTGTGAAGGAATGCTATGTCTGCCTCTGGATTGGTAGCCCCTTCTCTACCAAACAATTTTTTACAAAAGATTTCCTAGCCGGGAGCTGGTGGCTCATGGTTGTAATCCCAGCTACTCAGGAGGCTGAGATCTGAGGATCATGTTTCATCTGAGGATACGGTTCAAAGTCAGCCTGGGCAGGAAAGTCCGTGGAATTCTTATTTCCAAATAAACCACTCAGAAAACTGCAAGTGGTGCTGTGGCTCAAGTTGTAGAGCACTAGCCTTGATCTGAAGAGCTCAGGGACAGTGCTCAGGCCCAGAGTTCAAGCCCCACAACCAACCAAAAGAAAAAAAAAGATTTCATGATTCATCTGATGTCATCAACTCAGTTTCTAGGTGTTTTTTTTTTTAAATTGTGTTTCTGTATGTGTGTGGGGGTGGGGGGAGAGGGATAGAGAGAGAGAGAGAGAGAGAAAGAGTGAGAGTGAGATCCAGCCTTATGCCTATTAAGCATAGTGAGTACATTCTCAGCCTCCAAGGCTTTTTCCTTCCCAAGTATTCTGTCAGTCTGGGACTTTTTTTTTCTCCAGTCCTGGGGCTTGAACTCAGGGCCTGGGCACTGTCTCTGAACTTTTTTGCTCAAGACTAGCACCCTACCACTTGAGCCACAGCACTACTTTGGGCTTTTTCTGTTTATGTGGTACTGAGAAACAGAACCCAGGGCTTCATGAATGCTAGGCAAGCATTCTACCATCTAAACCACATTCCCAGCCAGTCTGTGACTTCTTATTTGTTAGTAGTGGGGCTTGAACTTGGGGTCTGGGTGTTGTGTCCCTGAGCAATTTTGCTCCAGGTTAACACTCTACCATTTTGAGCCACAGCACCAGCAGTTTTCTGGTGGTCATGGATTTATCCTCTTTTCTTTAGCTTTTCCTACTCTTGTCAAGAAGGAGAAACCAAGGAGGTCTGGTCCTCTGGTCACCACCTCAAGTCTTGCCGAGCTGTGGTCTTCTCTGAAGATGGACAGAGTAAGCATTTGAGAAGGCCTTGAAATGTGGGTGGGAAGGAAGCCTTGGACGAAGCCATGGACAGTCCCATGACTTGGGTACCTTTTCTCCCAGAACTTGTTACTGTTTCCAAGGACAAAGCCATCCATTTTCTAAATGTGGAGGAGGGCCGACTAGAAAGACGAATTTCCAAGGCTCATGGGTAAGGAGATTCAATTGTGTATATGTGCATGAGGGTGAGGAGTCAGGACCTGGAGACTCCTATTAGAGAGCAAAGGTGCTTCAATAAGTTCTTCATCTGTGTCTCCAGCGCCCCCATCAACAGTCTGCTACTAGTGGATGAGAATGTTCTGGCCACAGGGGATGACACAGGTGGTATCCGCCTCTGGGACCAACGGAAGGAGGGACACTTAATGGACATGCGACAGCATGAAGAGTACATTGCTGATATGGTTCTGGACCCAGCCAAAAAGCTGCTGCTGACAGCCAGGTAAATCTCAAACCTGCCACTTTCCCTCCCCTTCTTCCCTTAGTCAAAGAGAACTTCTCCCTAAGCCTTTGCTCTGCTCTGCAGTGGAGATGGTTGCCTTGGTGTCTTCAACATCAAACGACGCCGGTTTGAGCTACTCTCAGAGCCTCAATCAGGAGATCTGACATCTGTCACCCTCATGAAAGTACATCTGGGTATGATGGGATGGGATGTACCCCTAAAGAGTTTGGTCTAAGTTGGCTCTACAGACATGCTTTTTCCTGTTCCCTGCAGTGTGGTAAGAAGGTAGCCTGTGGCTCTAGTGAAGGTACCATCTACCTCTTCAACTGGAATGGTTTTGGGGCCACAAGTGACCGCTTTGCTTTGAGAGCTGAGTCCATTGACTGCATGATTCCAGTGACAGAGAGTCTACTGTGCACTGGCTCTACTGATGGAATCATCAGGTGAGTGAAGCCCAGACAGCCTTTGGGTCACCAGAGGGGCAAGTCCAACCAGTCAGTAACCAACCATTTCTCCTGTGCAGGGCTGTGAACATCTTGCCTAACCGAGTGGTGGGCACTGTGGGACAACATGCTGGGGAGCCTGTGGAGGAGCTAGCCCTCTCTCACTGTGGCCGCTTCCTGGCCAGTAGTGGCCACGACCAGCGCCTCAAGTTTTGGGACATGGCCCAGCTGCGAGAGGTGGTAGTAGATGACTACCGTCGACGCAAGAAAAAGGGAGGGCCTCTGCGTGCCCTGAGCAGTAAGGCCTGGAGCACTGATGACTTCTTCGAAGGACTAAGAGAAGAGGAAGAGGGTTCCAAAGCTCCAGAGGAAGAGGAGAGTGAGGATGACAGTGACTGAGGACACGAGTAGAAAACCTCAGGACAACTCTTCACTGGACAAGTCTTGCTTCCTGGTGTTGATCCCGAGAAGACTTGAATTACTTTTTTTGGTGCTGGGAATTGATGCTTTGAGCATGCTCAACCTGCACCCAAGATAATGTTGTGCCTTTTAAGAAGTTAAAACGTGTGGGATACTGGAGTGGGGAAGCAATTGTTCTGTAACAGATGCACACTCTACCCATATAAAACCGTCAACTCTGAGAAGACAGCACAGAAACATGTTTACTAACCAGGGGTTTAATTATAAATACAGATAACAACATAGAAAAACTCAAGCCATATTAACTAAAACCATAATGACAAGCAGTAGAGACCAAGGACTTGGCTAGTTTCTCACATAAAAACAGAAAGATTCATTATAAGCATGTCACATAGGAAATGGCCAAGGAAGCGCACAGGGTAAAGACAAACCTTGCAACTTAAGCTAAACCTGAGCAGCTGCCAGGTATGGGGCTATGTTCCAGTGAGGAGGATGCGATGCAGGGCCCATGTCCCTCCCCATTTTGGGATCAGAAGTGGTTGCCCAGGCCTGCTGGGCTGGGTGTTGACATAGGCTCTTGCCTACCCATTTAGGCTGCCTGTGGAGGGGAGAGAAGGATGTTACTGCTTCAATATAGTACCCGCCTCAGCCCCACCAGACCACAAGAAGCTGGCCTCAGACTCACTCAGTGCTTCTAGCAGCTGTGTAGAAACAGCATCCTTGGCCACTTCATGACCATCCTGCCCATCTGGAGTCAGCACAACCCAGATGAGGCCACTGAAAGGCACTGGATGCCCAGGGATCACTACTTGGTACCAGAAGCGATGCCAGCCAGCAGGTCCTGTGTCCAAACACTTGGTGAGGAACACTGGGCTGCCTAGCTTCATTCGTTGGCACAGCATCTGCAGGGCGGCTCGAGGCCCTTGGGACCCCAGCTTGTTCTTAGCCAGGGCCAGCTGACTACTATTTGGCTGTAGGCGCTGCAGGGAGGGACTCATGAGCTGGGGACGCAGTAGCTGCTTCAGGTCTGGCTTGAGCCACTCCACAGTCACTGGTTCTCCACAGAGGCGTGACTGCCCTGAATGAAAAGGTGAGAGCAAGACCTTTAGGCCTCTCATTTCCCGGTGGTAAAGCCCAGTTAACTTCTCAGGCTTCACTGGTCTTTATTTGTAAACAGGATGTGACAACTGCCACTTTATAAAGTTTCTTTGGAGGAGCTGCTGGAGAAGGCAGGCTTTACCTATCTGATAACCATCACAACAGCTAACCTTGCCAGCCAGGACTACCTCTGTGTCAGGAAATATGTTAAGTAACCATTGTCAATTCTCACAGCAGTCTGAAAAAACAAGTTCTGTAGTAAACAAAGGCAGGCTCAGCTGAATTCCCTAGGGCAAGTCTTTTTCATTGGAATGTTTAGGATTAAGAGATAATGCCTGCCTTAGAAGTGTTAAATTTGGGTATACTATAGCACCGCTGGAAATAAAAGTGAACTCACACTTGCCTGAGGTTTTTCTTGGGGGGACTTTTAACTGCTTTACACTGACCTGACGGTATCCAGTACGCTTCAAACCAGACTCCCTCTCCCCGCCCCCCCCCCCCACACCCCACCTTCCCCCTACCTTCCACTAAGGCCTTTTTGGCCATGGCGGCTGCGCGATGGGAACTGAACTTGAGCAGCGCAATTTGAGTTGCTGTCGACCCGGGACTGGGCAGCAGCAGTGCTTCCTGGAGGCCGGGGCCCAGCGGCTGCAGTGCCAGCAGCAGCGCGCGGCGGGTCACACTCGACGGCAGCCCATCCACGCTCAGCTCGCACTTCTCCGTGCTGCGGCACACCAGCAGCGGGCAGGAGGGCCGCAGGAGGTGGTTATGCAGCGTGGCGATGGCGGCCTGGGCACCGCGCCGCGAGCTGTAGCGCGCGTAGGCGAAGCCGCGATTGAGGCCGCTGAAGGTCATCATGAGACGGAACTCGTAGAGGCGGCCCACGCGCTGGAACAGCGGGATCAGCTGGTGCTCATACACATCCTGGGGCAGCCTTCCGATAAATACCTCGGACCCTGCCGGCGGCGGGCTGCCCACCCAGCCTGGGGAAAGAGGGTGCGGAAGGACACGGTCACTCACGGGATGGTTTCATGACCTGAGCTCAAGGACTCAGAGACGGTCGGTGTCCGTCTAGGAAATGGGAATGCCCGTTCTGCGCCCGAGCTATTGGTGTAATTGGCCCTGCCGCACAGTAGATGCACCAAGACGGGCTCCCCTCCTCCAAACGGGGCCAAAGGCTCGGCCCCTCCCGACCAAAAGGGTGCCGGCTCCGCCGTCGAGCGACAGGTGTTAGGGGCAGAGGCTACCGTACCTGGAGGTGGCCCGCCATACTTCCTCTGCCCGTTCACCTGCACCAGGCGGATGCCCGTCTCCCTGACCCACGCCTCCAGGGCCGCCTTGTTTTCTGGATTCACCCTCTCACACCATTGCTATAAGGGAAAAAAGCAGGATGGAGTGGGGGGAGGGCTTGCGGAGCTGCCCCCCCACACACACCTTGCCTGTGGTGCTGGGGCCACTGTATCTACCACCCCGGCTCAGGCTGCGCTTGAAAACCCCCAGCACCCCCAAGCCCCAGCTCCGTACCTCACACTCGCGTTTGGACTGCATGGCGGTACTGCAGGGCCGACCCCGTACCTTATTTATGACTTCCTTCCCCCAGATCGCCTCTGGAAGTTTCCCTACCCTCCACCCCCACAAGCTCTCATTGGCTCTGTGCGCGACCCCGCCTCCCGAGGGTGGAGGTATCCACCGCACGTGCGCGGTGGGCTCTCAGACCCTCGGGTGGAAAGATAAAAACCCTTGCTGGCCAGTCAGTCAGGGAAAAGCCCTATTCCTGAAGAGTGGTTCGGACAGGGTGCGCGCTCCCGACGAGATATTCCCGATGCGCCTTTCACCCTAGAAAAGACGCCTTTCACCCTAGAAAAGACGGGTGGGCCGTTCTGTGTCTTTTTTCCACCGCTTATGTGGTCTAAATGAGTGCCCCAGGTTCTAGTGAGGAAAAGAGAGCTAGGCATCAGTGAGTGACACAGACAAGAACCAATGGTTGAGTGTTTTTATTGGACCTTTGGTGATAGGTTGTGGGTAGTCATCTGCTCCAACTGGTGTGGGGTCTTCTTGCATTTGAGGCCACCTCAGGTCCATTCCAGAAGTTTAGGAGGCAGTGACTGGGTCTTCTATAGAAAGTGGTAATATAGTTGTAAACGTATAGGCATAGTCCTGGCCATTTTTTTTTTTTTTGCCAGTGATTACCAATAAAATAATCATAACAGAAACAAATTAGATTTTGTTCTGAAAACTCTTCAAATGTTCTGCTGAAACCTGAAGTGTGCCAAGCTTTGAAGTACATATGTAGTTCTGTTTTGGTTTTAAATATTGCCAAGTCCAGCTTCCTACATCACTCAATTCAGCAGATGCAAGGGGTCTTGTTTGTTCTCCTTCTGATCTCTTCCACAAGGTCTTCTCTTCTGACATCCACCTGGTCAGGATGGGAGAAGAAGATATGAGCATGAGCATCTTCCACTCCACTGCTTCCTGAATGATTATATTTTTTTAGGCATCATGTTTGGCTCAGATGGTAACAGGAACCCAATTAGATACTCCAGAAAAGGCAGTGCCTCTTGGAGAAGCCAGAAAGACAGATATCTTTTTTTTTTTTTTTTTGGGTACGGTCCTGGGGCCTGAACTCTGGGCCTGGGCGCTGTCCCTCAGCTCTTCAGCTCAAAGCTAGCGCTCTACCACTTGAGCCACACCACCACTTCCAGTTTTCTAGTGGTTTATTGGAGATAAGAGTCTCATAGATTTTCCTGCCTGGGCTGGCTTTGAACTGAGATCCTCAGATTTCAGCCTTCTGAGTAGCTAGGATTACAGGCATGAGTCACTAGTGCCTGGCCAAGATTAAAGATTTTAACTACCACAGTTAACAGGTTAAGCCTTAGGTTCTTTTTTTTTTTTGGGTCCGGTTGTGGGGCCTGAACTCTGGGCCTGGGCGCTGTCCCTCAGCTCTTCAGCTCAAAGCTAGTGCTCTACCACTTGAACCACAGCACCACTTCTGGCCTTTTCTGTTTATGTGGTACTGAGGAATTGAACCTAGGGCTTCATGCATGCTAGGCAAGCACTCTACTACTAAAGCCACATTCCCAGACCCACTATTAAAGTCCCCCCCCCCCACCATCCTGGGGCTTGAACTCAGGGCCTGGGTGCTTCAGCTCAAGGGGAGCGCTCTACCACTTGAGCCACACCACCACTTCCAGTTTTCTAGTGGTTTATTGGAGATAAGAGTCTCATAGATTTTCCTGCCTGGGCTGGCTTTGAACTGAGATCCTCAGATTTCAGCCTTCTGAGTAGCTAGGATTACAGGCATGAGTCACTAGTGCCTGGCCAAGATTAAAGATTTTAACTACCACAGTTAACAGGTTAAGCCTTAGGTTCTTTTTTTTTTTTTGGGTCCGGTTGTGGGGCCTGAACTCTGGGCCTGAGTGTTGTCCCTCAGCTCTTCAGCTCAAGGCTAGTGCTCTACCACTTGAGCCACAGCACCACTTCTGGCTTTTTTCTTTTTGCTTATGTGGTGCTGAGGACTCGAACCCAGGGCCTCATTCATGCACGGCAAGCGCTCTACCACTGAGCCACCTTCCCAGCCCCCTTAGGTTCTTTTTTCTGGTTGTGGGGCTTGAACTCAGGGCCTGGGAGCTGTTCTAGAGCTTTTTTGTGCAAGACTAGAATTCTACCACTTTGAGCCACAGCACCATTTCCTGTTTTCTACTAGTTAATTAGAGATAAGCCTCCTGAGTGGCTAGTATTACAAGTGTGAGCAAGCCTTACGTTCTTTAAAAGTTGGTACTGTATGAATGCTAGGCTTTTGCTCAGGTCTCAAATGGGCATAGACTTCTTGCTTGAATCCTTACCTCTTCTCTGCTAGCCACCGAACGGAGCTTGATGACCCCATCCTTGAGCTCCTGCTCACCGATGATGGCCACTAGTGGGATACCTGTTTCCTCACAGTACTGCAACTGGTTCAGTAACTTTGGGTTCTTCTTGTAGAGCAGTTCAGCCTGCAAGAGACCAGGGCAGAACATGAGAGCTGTCCTCTGCTATCCTCAGGGACAACTTCCTGGGGGCCCAAGCTGGCATCTTGCTCTTACATCCAGTCCAAGAAGTAATGTCACTTCTAAGGGTGAATTTTATTTCATTTATTTTATTTAGATACCATGGGTGAATTTTATTTAGTTTGTGCCTATAACTCTCAAGTTTGCTGCCTCCTGTACCTTGATTCCAGCATCCCACAGCTCTGAGATAAGTTTCAGTCTCTCCTCCAGCAGCTTCTTTTGCGCAGATGCAACAAGCACCTGTGTCTCTGTGGTTCGTACTTTCTCTTCTAAAGCCTGGGGAAGGGGCAGATAAGTCAGAGACACTTCCAAGTAGCGTATAGGGCAGACTCTTAGTAAGGATTCTGAGACTAGGCTCGACTCAGTGTGTGCAACCAGGGAAGTGCAACAGTGTTCTCTTTTAGCACCTGGGGTTAAGGTAGCTCTTAGAAAACATGAAATTAACTGACTTGTATATGTGACTGTGAGAAGGGCAGAGGTAACTTCAAGCTCATCTCAAACAATCTGATTAAGAATCTGTAAGAGCCGGGCGCTGGTGGCTCACACCTCTAATCCTAGCTACTAAGGAGGCTGAGATCTGAGGATTGTGGTTCAAAGGCAGCCCGGGAAGGAAAGTGGTGAGACTCTTATCTCCAATAAAAACCACTAGAAAACCAGAAGTGGCACTGTGGCTCAAGTGATAGAGTGCTTGCCTTGAGCTGAAGAGCACAGGGACAGTGCCCAGGCCCAGAGTTCAAGCCCTACAACCAACCAAAAAAAACAAAACAAAAAACAAGAAAGAAATGAAAAGCAGCATCAATAAGAAAGGCCTGAGCCCTCTGGAGCTTCCTTGGTATTATTCTAGGTGCTACAAAGTTGAAATAAACACTTGAGTAATCCCAGGACCTGGGTTTCCTACTGACAGAGAGCATTACAGAGTGGTAAGGAGGAAGATTTAAGGATATTTACTTTCTGGTTTCACAGTGTGACTCTGCCATTACAAGTTCCATGTCTTTGAGCAAAGTTTTTTTTCAATTTTTTATTACTTAAGTACTTTAGCATCCTCACCTAAAAACATGTAAATTTTAGAACCTTATGAGCTAATGCATGAAAAGCAGAAAACACAGTGCCTACCACATGGCAGTAGCATGGTAAGTATTTTGTCATGAGGAAGATCTGGGTCTTGGATACGCCAGCATAGATTCCTGATAGCTCCAAGATGTCACTCCTAGGACCTACCTCCAGTCTTTGTTCCACAATGGAGAAGATGCGCTCCACTCCAATACTGACTCCCACACATGGTACCTTGCGCCCTTTAGGGTCAAACATGCCCACTAGTCCATCATAGCGCCCTCCAGCAGCCACACTGCCCACACCCAGGGGCTCGTCCCCTGCCTGGGCTGGGGTCTGTAGCAGCACAGCCTCATAGATCACCCCCGTATAATAGTCTAGCCCTCGAGCAAGGCTCAGGTCAAAGGAGATCTGTGGAGAAAAGGACATGATCACTACTAGATTGGGATCTTAGATCCAAAGTCCCTAAGGTCAGACAAGGCTCCCATTTGGACTCACCTTGTCATCAATGCCAAACAGAGTCAGGTACTCAAACAGCAGCTTCAGGTCTCCCAGGCCCTCTAAGGCCTGCTTGTTTTGAGATAGTTTAGGATCTTGGAGCAGCTCCTCCACTAGGGACACCCCACCTAGGGAGACAGATTGGCTTATCTTTTTGTCTAAACTGCAAGTACATGTGCACATGAATACACACATACACAGATTCAATTTTAGAGGGAGGGCAGTGCATGGCTACTGAGGAGGCGGGGTTCTGTTCCTCACCATGCTGCTGAACATAGTCTCCGATGCGGTCAGCCACCTCAGGTGCAAGTCCCTTCTCTCCCACCATCTCATTCTTCACTTCCTCCCAGGATACCTAGGCAGACACTAGTCAGGGACTTTTGAGCAGCTTCCCTACCACAGAGCAGAGGTGGTCCCTTCTTGGGGAACAGTCTTAGAAGCAGAAGCTGCCTTTCAACCTACGTGCTGGAGCTAATCTTCCTTTAGTGGGCATAGAGGTAAGCATTAATGCTCGTTTTCCATTGCTCAAGGAGGGGTGGGTTCTGGGAAAAAAAATCAGGCATTTGGGTCATTACCTTATCCAGCTTGTCTACTGAGGAACAGATGGTACGGAACTTGCTATCTGGAACACCACAGACGGCAAACATCCCATCTAATATGCGCCGGTCATTTACCTGTAGGGACCCAAGGCATATCTCTTTAATAGCCTCCACAGTCTTGGTTCCTTGGGCTATTGGTTCCTTTTAATAGGACTTTCTCCTACGAGAAGCCAGGTCCTGCCTTGCCCTCCCAACCCCATTTAGCTCTGACCTTGACCAGGAAGTTGCCTATCTGAAGTGAACTCAGGATTTCACACATGATTTTCAGGCATTCTGCATCAGGGATCATAGGGTCAAATTGTCCAGCAATGTCAAAATCCTGCAGGGAGAGGGGTAGACAGAGGACCTCAAGAGTTGAACTATATTAAAGAGGAATTTCTGGGAGTTCTGCTTTGAAGAGATCTGCTTTCTGTCTGTTTGCACTGAAGCACATGAAGGACTTCCCCACTTCATTCTCTATGTCCGATAATCAGCTCAGAGGAAAAGCGCAGCATTTTTGAGCTTCCCACCAGTCCTGGTATCCTTTCCATATATGGGATTCTATGTCCTTCATTATCTACTTTATCATTATCTCCTTCCTTAATTCCTCCAACTTCTTCCTTTGATATTCTTTCCCATCCACTAGAAGTCCTGCCATCATTTGTGATGATTTGATATCTCACGTGGAAATTTCTCATTGATCTTCTGCAGTGATCCTACCACTATAGTTTCATATAAAAGGCACTGAACCTAGCTGGGTGCCAGTGACTCAAGCCTGTAATCCTAGCTTCTCAGGAGGCTGAGATCTGAGGACCGCAGTTCAAAGCCAGCCTGGGCAGGAAGGTCTGTGAGACTCTTCTCTCCAATAAACCACTTAGAAAACCAGAAATGGCACTGTGGCTCAAGTGGTATAATGCTAGCCTTGAGCTGAAGAGTACACAGACAGTGCCCAGGCCCAGAGTTCTACCCCTACAATCTCTTTATCTTTTGAATACTTAAAATGGGGAACATTTCCTCTTCATTATGAAATCTACATAAAAATATCAAAATGCAAGTGCTTTATCTGGGGACATCCACTTTACTCAGGATACCACAGTACTTAACGATGTATTGATTTCCTGGGCACTGATGGCTCACACCTGTAATCCTAGCTACTCAGGAGGCTGAGATCTGAGGATTGTAGTTAGGAACCAGCCTGAGCAGGAAAGTCCCTGAGACTCTGATCTCCAATAAACCACCAGAAAACTGGAAGTGGCGCTGTGGCTCAAGTGGTTGAGTGCTAGCCTTGAGCTGAAGAGCTCAGGGACAGCGCCCAGGCCTAGAATTCAAGCACCTTGACCAACAAAAAACAAACAGATTGTTGAGAGACTGACTTGAGAGAGGATCTGAATTACCCATCCTGCCCGTTTTTTCAACACTCACACATTGGTAGAATTCCCGGTATCGGCCTCGGGTCATGGCTGGGTTATCCCGCCGATATACTTTTGCTATATGGTAGCGTTTAATGTTGGTCAGTTTATTCATTGCCAAATACCGAGCAAAAGGAACCTGATGACAGAGAGTTAAGGAGAACACCTTTCCTATTGCTGTTTGGAAATTATCATCACCTACAGAAGCTGTGGTCTAACCCCTCCCTGTCTGGGAAAAGCCACTGCCCGTAAGATTAACAGCATTTCTGAAGGTACAGAAAGAATCAACTGTGCTACTACAGTTGAAGCCTCAGAAAAGACCAAGGTTAGCCAGGCGCCCGTGGCTCGTGTCAGTAATCCTAGCTACTTGGGAAGCTGAGATCTGGTTCAAAGCCGGCTGGGGCAGGAAAGTCTGTGAGACGCTTATCTCCAATTAACTACCAGAAAACTGGAAGTGGCACTGTGGCTCAAGTGGTAGAATACTAGCCTTGAGCTTAAGAGCTGAGGGACAGCGCCCAGGACCAGAGTTCAAGCCCATAACTGACCAAAAAACAAAACAAAAAACAAACAAGGCTCTGTAGGTTAGGGGCTTGGCTCAGGGGGTAGGGTGCCAGCCAGTGAGCATAAAGCATCAGATACCAAGTTGGCATCTTTGTCTGACAGCCTGGCCCGCCCCCCCCCCCCACCTCCAAAAAAAAGATCAAGGCTCCTTCCTATTTGGTAGTATCTCCCTTGGGCAGATTGACACAGAGCAGGAAATGGGCCCCATAGGGAATCCCTAAGCAGATGACTGAGTCTCTGTAGCTTACAAGCAAAGGAAATGTAATTTTGGTTAAGTAAAATGAACTTTGCCCATGGACCTAGGCAAGGGAAAGCTATTCTAGAACCAGGGGATTGTGAAACTGGGAACTGAAGGTAAGGTAAGGTCTCACCCAGCATTCAGATTTCTTCTTCTTCTTTTTTTTTTTTTTTTAGCATTCAGATTTCTAAGGCTACACTCTGCTTGGCCAACGTCTCATCCTACTTCACAGCAGAAAGAATTCACTAGTTGCCAAAGGCTTTATGTTTAATCTTACCTAGGTCTGTCTATCCCTAAATGTAAGGCTTAGAAGTAGCCCCAGCTCTGTAAGGGCCAAGAGCTGAAGGTTAGAAAGATACAGTGAGATCATAACGAAGGGACAGCAGCTCCCCTCCCTGGTCCTTCAGGTCATAAATAAGCTTCGAATCTTCTCCATATTTTCCAGTCAGTGTTTCCTAGAGAGAGCATAATGAACTGTGATGACAATAAACGTAACTTTTTTTTGTGGTGCTAAGGCTAGACCTAGGCAAACACTCTCTACTGAACTACATCCTCATCTACTAAAAGAACATTATGAAAAAACTACTATCCTAACATTCCTAATTTCAACTTGTCTATATTCCTTCTTTTTATCCCAATGCTTACATGCTTGATATAGTTATAATAAAAAATAAACATTGTTGATTTTTGGCTAATATACATTTTATAAGAGCTAACATTGCTTTTTAAAAATTTATTTTATCTTAGAGGTGATGTATAGAGCAATTAGTTACATATTGCTTTTTAAAGATGTATACTCTTTAGTAAGAAGCTCTGTGCTTATTTTCTCACTAATGTTATCCTGTGAGATGGCTAGGTTATTCCAATTTAAAAACAAAATTTCTGGGCTGGGAAGGTGGCTCAGTGGTAGAGTGCATGATTCCTTAGCACCACATAAGCAGAAAAAGCCGAAGTGGTGCTGTGGCTCAAGTGGTAGAGTGCTAGCTTTGAGCTAAAGAGCTAAGGGACAGCGAGCGCCCAGGCCCAGAATTCAGGCCTCACAACTGACCCCCCCCCCCAAAAAAAATAACAATTTAAGAAATGTTAATTTTTTCTTGAGAATAAGATTCTGGGAGTGTATTACAGACCAGTGGTTGTTTTTTTGTTTTTTAAACATCTGTAATCTGAACAACATTAAAAGCCAAAACAGAATGTCTTAATAGTATTACAGTAGTTTGTGCCCTCACATGTTTTCAACAGATAACAGATTTCATTTATCACACTGATAGATTTTAAGTGTCTGAACATTCCCAGTATGCAAATCTGTTCTGATTTGTACATTCTTAGTGTAAGATTGGAAACATTTGTACACTGGTTGGACTGAACTGTTTGTATCTTGCCCTCCACCCCATTCCTATGTTGAAGTTCTAACTCTAGTAATCTCATACTCTCTTATTATCTATTTTGGTTTCCTATACTCATTCTTCAATCATGTAGCTTCCTCTTACCCATCTCTCACCTTTAGTTCAAACACAGGTGTATCAATCACTTCTGCACCATGGCGTTTGAAGCAGCGGATGATTACATCAAACACTTTCTCCCGAACTGCCATATGCTTGGGACTGTAGTCTCTTGTGCCCTTGGAGTCAAAATTAACCAAAAAACCAAGGAAGAGATGTAAACTAGACAATAATAAGTTCTGAAAACATATAACTGTGTTTTCACCAATAGGGAAAGCAAATCCTATGTCAAACATAGATTTTCTTACAGGCCACTGAATAGTAAAATCAATACAAACCATTCCTTATTGATTTCTATACTCACTTCCCTTTTAAATCACATTCTCTTTTAGGTTTGATTCTTAGAATATTTTTCTTAAAACATTTTTTTTCCCTAAGCAGCTTTTTGACAACTCTGGGAATAAGAGTATTTCTGCCTAACAGAAGAGACCTGCCTGATGATAAGCATATAACCAAAACAAATTGGATCAATGAGTTGTACAGTGACTTTTCTTTCTTAGCATGCTTTTTTCTCATAGTATAAATTAATTATACAAAGGGACTTCATTATAATATTACATCCATGCAGATAATGTACTTTTGATCAAATTTACTCCTATTTCTCTTTCTCTTTCTCTTTTTTTTGTAGGTTACAGGGCTTGAACTCAGGGCCCAGATTAGACAGAAACATTGATAAAGGTGCTGAGGAAGGTGTTGAGAAGTCTTCAGTTTATGCCTCATAACAAATTTGTGGCAGAACAACTTTGTTCTTGTATGTCAGACCTTTTAGTCTTGGCTTTTACAATCTACTCTAAAGTCTTTGGTCTTAGGACCTCTTCACTCTTAATATAAATCCAAAATACATTATAGCTATCAATATTTTGCTACTAGAAATTAAAAATAAAAATCTAAAATAATATATTAGTGTATCCATCAAATATTAACACATATTTTAGGAAAGTATAAGCATTTTCTTTTTTTTTTTTCTGGTCGGTCATGGGGCTTGAACTCTGGGCCTGGGTGCTGTCCCCCAGCTCTTCAGCTCAAGGCAAGTGCTCTACCACTTGAGCCACAGCACCACTTCCTGTTTTCTGAGGGTTTTATTGGAGCTAAGAATCTCAGGGACAGAAAGTCTGTGAGACTCTTAGCTCCAATAAACCACCAGAAAACCGGAAGTGGCACTGTGGCTAAAGCGGTAGAGCGCTTGCCTTGAGGTGAAGAGCTGAGGGACAGTGTTCAGGCCCAGAGTTCAAGCCCCAAGACTGACAAAAAAAAAAAAAAATTCACAGACTTTCCCACCCTGGCTGGCTTTGAATCGAGATCCTCAGATCTCAACCTCCTGAGTAGCTAGGATTACAGGTGTGAGCCACCGGCACCTGGCAAATATAACCATTTTCAAAAAAACCTGAATAATGGTATTGATGACATCTTTGCAGATCTTTAATATCTGCCTTAATAAAAGACAGATGATTTCCCCCCCTCCCCCAGTCTTGGGGCTTGACCTCAGAGCCTGGGCACTGTTCCTAAGCTTCTTTTGCTCAAGGCTAGCACTCTACCACTTGAGCTACAGTGTCATTTCCAGCTTTTTCTGTGTATGTGGTACTAAGGAATCAAACCCAGGGCCTCATGAATTCTAGGCAAGCACCTTATCACTAAGCCACATTCCCAGCCCCAGATGATTCTTCTATGTGCTTCTTGTATTCAATATCTGTTTTAGAAGTAAATGAAGTATATCTAAACTGACATAGATGTGTACTAGTAAAAGGAGGAGTACTTCAATGAACTTTCAGTGAATTGTGAATATTCTTTTTTTTTGATACACCTAACCTCCACAGAAGTTTCACTTTCTTTTTTCTTTTCTTTTTCTTTTATTGTGAAAATACTGTACAGAGGGGTTACAATTACATGGGCAAGATAATGAGTACATTTCTTATCAAGCATTGTAGCATCCTCCTTTGTTTCCCCTTCCTATCCTCCCCCCCCATCCCCCAGTTTCACTTTCTTAAAGACTGGTTGGTTGTTTTTTTTTTTTTTTTTTTTTTGCTGGCTCTAGGGTCTGTGGGCCCAAGTCCTTGAGTTGTGTTTTTTTTTTTTTTTTTGCACAAGGCCAAAATCACTTGTGCTTAATGTATACATCCCATATAATAGTATTTCCAGCCCCAGCAGGAAAGTCTATGAGACTTTTTTTCAGCCACAGAACTTGAACTCAGGGCCTGGGCACTGTTCCTGAGCTCTTTTGCTCAAGACTAGCACTTTATCACTTTGAGCCACAGCTCCACTTCCAGTTTTCTGGTGGTTAACTGGAAATAGCTAAGAGTCTCACAGACTTTCCTGCCTGAGCTGGCTTTGAACTGCTATCTTCAGATCTCAGCCTGAATAACTAGGATTTCAGGGGTAAGCCACCAATGTCTGGCTCTATGAGACTCTTATCTCCAATTAGCCACTTAAAAACTAGAAGTGGAATTGTGGATCTAAGTGGTTATCTTATGTTAATATAGTATGTTATCCAAGTGAGTTATCTTATGTTAATATATTTCTTTTTTCTTTTTTTGTTGGTCCTGGGGCTTGAACTCTGGTTCTGGGTGCTATCCTTGAGCTCTTCAGCTCAAGGCTACTGCTTCATCACTTGAGCTACAGCACCACTTCCAGTTTTCTGGTGGCTCATTGGAGATAAGAGTCTCACAGATTTATCTGCTAGGGATCTCAGCCTCCTGAATAGCTAGGATTACAGGCATGAGCCACTGGTGCTGGGCTGATGTTAATTTTTTTTTTTGGTTGGTAGTGTGGCTTGAACACTGGGCCTAGGGGCTGTCCCTAAGCTCTGCAGCTCATGGCGAGTGCTCTACCACTTGAGCCACAGCGCCACTTCTGGTTTTCTGGTGGTTTATTGAAGATAAGAGTCTCCCGGACTTTCCTGCCTGGGCTGGCTTTGAACAGTGATCCTCAGATCTCAGCCTCCCCAGTAGCTAGGATTATAGGTGTGAGCCACAAGACCCCAGCTCAAAGAAAAGTGTTTTTTAAAAGAAATTCTTTTTCTAAAAGAAATTCTTCCAGGGCTGGGAAGGTGGCTCAGTGGTAGAGCGCTTGCCTTGCATGCCTGAGGCCCTGGGTTCGATTCCTCAGCACTGCATAAGCAAAAAGAAAAAAGCCGGAAGTGGCGCTGTGGCTCAAATGGTAGAGTGCTAGCCTTGAGCTGAAGAGCTGAGGGACAGTACCCAGGCCCAGAGTTCAGGCCCCACAACCGGACCCAAAAAAAAAAAAAAGAAATTATTCCAGCTTTTATGACTTCTGCCGCTAGTCATGCTTAATAAAATACCAAGTTGTCTTGAATATGTTGAAGTATGATCACAAAAGGTATTTGTTTTTAAACTCTAAGACCTCCACTGACTGAACTTGATTTTTCTGTTGAGGCTATAACCTTCAATTATATTGAAAATTTAACAGACATCTAAATCAACAGCTAATTTTTAACATTGAATTGCAAATGCAACAGCACAATTTGAAAATACATTAAATGCTTAATTTGTTCAGACCTGATATTTTAATACAACAATGTTATCATTGCCATTATCAAGATGATAAACATTTCTATTATTTCCTACCACCCCCCCCAAAAAAAACAAAAAACAAAAGAAAGAAAAATGTGTTTTAGGTAGACACCAGTGGTTCATGCCTGTAATCCTTACTACTCAAAAGGCTGAGATCTGAGGACTGAACTTCAAAGCCAGCCCAGACAGGAAAATCTGTGAGACCCATATCCCCAATTAAGCACCAAAAAAGCCAGAAGTGACTGAAGTGGTAAGACTGGTACGTGTGTGCGTGAGCATGTGCGCACACACACACATACACACAAAGTCGTTGCAATAACAGAAATATGTATGAAAGACCACGGAAATCTATATGAAGGGATAAATACTTCTGTTTATAGAACCTCCAGAAAGTGACACCTAAAGTAAAATCTTAGAGATGAGTTAGGAAATTTCTTCCTTCATTCCACTCTACTTTCCTACTCTTTTGGGTTGTATATAGATCCTCCTCTAGTTCCTAGAGATTATCAAAGTACCATCATTCTTTCTTGTTTCAGGGTTTCCACATTCTATGGACCTGTTTTCCTTACACTCTTCCTCTGGCTACCTGTATCCATCTCAGAGGTTTATAGTGTACTACTTCTTAGTGAGGCTTTCTTAGACTCTAGCACTCACGTTTTTGAGCATCCATATCAATTTCTTTATATCACTAACCACAACTTACAATTGCTTAATCATGTGTGGGATTATCTGTCCTAAAGTTTTCTCTTTCAGTAGCATGGAAGATACATGAAGGCAGACTGCAGTGTCCAGCCTGGTATGATTAGAACTTTGTACTGTACTAGGGACGTAGTAGTAAGCAGTCAATGACAGCTTACTGAATGAAAGGAGTACAGAAGTAGGCTGGGCACCCAGGTGGCCTCCTTTCTGTCATCACTTTGCCATCCCAATATGACTCAAGTAGAGCTCAATCCAGCCCAGTAGCCAGAACAATGATCGTTTCCTCTGCAATATTTCAGCTCCTCCTCAATGACCTAGTTCAGGAAAGCAGATCAATCCACCCTTTTGAGTAGATTAGAAATTCTCTCAGATTCCCCTTATAGGAATAGTACTACCTTGGGTGTTTTGAGCACAAACTTTTGTTTGCTTTCATCAGGGCCCAGCTGTGCCTTCAGTTTCAGGAGTTTCGCCACCTCCTCCTCGATCTGTTGGGGAAAAGAATCAGTTCGGCTATTAGTCGTCCCTCTCCCTTTCACATCATTCATTCGATATTCCTCCCATATCAGGAACTGGGGCAGGTCTTTCGACTGGGGGCCAGCCATCCTTCTCTCAGGATCCGCCCTAGCTATCTCCCCATCCCAGCCCATCCTCCCTACGAGCCCAGTCCCGTCCTCCACAACGCTGTCCTCCAGCCAGACTACCTCGCTTTATGTCCTTCCCTTGTCTCCTGCGTCATACCTGATCAGCGCTGGCTTTCTGCTGCTTGAGGCTCCGCACGCGCTCTCCCTGAAGCCGCACCAGTTCCTCCAGCTCTGCACGATCTGCCATTCTGCCGGCCACCTGGAGCTAGCTGCCTGCCTTCCAAACCGGCTGGGGTGAACGCAGCCTGAGCCTGGATGACTTCCGGCTACAGAGACTCTGCTTTCCAGGCCTAGAGAGCCTCCGTGGAACTCAGAAACCACTTCCGGGTTAGGGAGCTTGGGATGTCCGGATCTCTGTCTACTGAGCACTTCCTGCCGAATGAGTTAGGTGCCCCTGGTGAGCCTCTTGAGCGTCCTGCTCTTTCCTGGAGATTCTCCCGGCCTTGTTCCCTGGCCTTTGGCTTCTCTCCTGGAAATCAGGCGTCCCGCAGCGCGATGCCCCAGCTCGGGCTCCTATGCCGGAAGGCTTGGGCTGCTGCGCTGCTCAGCCAGCTGGTGCGACCTCCCCATGCCGTGAGCATCCGGACGGTCGGTGGTCACAGCCAGGTGAGCCAGGTCAGGTGAGCCTGGTGGAGATGGCTCCTGGCTGTCCCGGCATCGGCTTGTGCGTCCTTGGTTTTTGTTGTTGTTGTTGTTGAGTGACCACTTTGTAACAGAACTGAACTAAGTCTTTTGGAGGTCTCGGTATTTCATACTGAGACCAGTCTTGGCAGGTTGGAGCTTTTTGTTTTCAGTTCGCAGCAGCCAAGGACATGGAAGTGGAAAGCTCCAAAGACTTATTTACAGATACCTGGAAAAGGAGTATTTTCATACAGATACATAATCCATCTGAAATCCTTAGAGTCAAATTCATACTTTTTTTTCTTAAGCAAAATGTAAATGGAATGGGTAAAGACCATAAATAAACTGAGTTCGCAATAGAATTTACCCCAACATGAATTTCAGAAACACACTTTTAGTTTTCAGAGACTTGGCATTAAAGAGATTTTGACATTACAGAGAAGGGATTGTGGACTTGATTTAGGTTTCTTTTGAGGAAGAGAATATCCTATGGTATTTTGGAACTAACCCCCCCCCATTTCTGAAAGGACATTAGCCTGCTGGCAATAAAATTGGTGATCCCTAGTGCTCTCAGAGAAGATGCTTTGTGCTCTCTTGCACAGCAGGGTTCAGAGCTTTTGTTTCTTTATCAAAAGTTAGTTGAAACAGGAAAAGCATTTCTTTTCCTCTATTCCTGGGTTGTTCTTTGTTATTTGGTTCCTTTTCTGATGTCTTCAAATTGCATTTCCCCAAGCTGATAAACAGAATTCTTATTTTTGCTCTTGGAGTAGGAACTGAGAACTGGAAAAGATCATGCTAATCTGTACACCTACATGGTTATTAGGGGTAGTGTTTGTTTTGGATTTTTATTGATTTTAGGAGCTTATACTTTTTTTCCAGACATGTATAAACTCATATACAATGAAGTCACTTAAGAGATGAAGACAGTTCTATATTACCTGTGTAACAGTCGTTACAATGCGGGTTCTCCAGAGTGGTAGGTGGAGATCAGGATAGATAAAATGGTGCTCAGGCATCTCATTGCTTAGTGTCAAGAATCTTTTTAGGGGTGCTGGGAATGTGGCTTAGTGGTAGAGCGCTTGCGTAACATCTATTAAGTCCTGGGTCAATTCCTCAGTACTACATAAACAGAAAAAGCCAAAAGTGGCACTGTGGCTCAAGTGATCCAGTGCTAGCCTGGGCAAAAGAAGCTCAGGGAGGGGCTGGGAAGTTGGCTCAGTGGTAGAGCGCTTGCCTTGCATGCCTGAGGCCCTGGGTTCGATTCCTCAGCACCACATAAGAAAAAAGCCGGAAGTGGCGCTGTGGCTCAAGTGGTAGAGTGCTAGCCTTGAGCTGAAGAGCTGAGGGACAGCGCCCAAGCCCAGAGTTCAGGCCCCACGACCGGACCCAAAAAAAAAAAAAAAAAGAAGCTCAGGGACAGTGACTAGGCTCTGAGTTCAAGCTCCAGGACTGGCAAAAAAGAAAAAAGAAAACAGAATTTTTACAGGTTGGTGGACCATGGGGTTGGTTGGAGATGCCACATGTCTAACCTACATCATGAGGTGCTGCGTTTTATTTCGTACTCCTTTTTTTGTTGTTTAGATAGCAGAGGCAGTTTTAACATCTCAACTGAAACCACGTGAAGAGAAACCAAATTTTGTCATTAAGGTACCAAAGGTAATGCCCTTTTACTACTTTGTTTTCTCAGAGTGCCATAGAAGATTGACATCTACTTTGCTTGTCTCTCTGACCCTTTTTAAATCAAATTAAAGATCTAAATACAGGGCCAGGAGTGTGGCACAAGTGGTAGAGTCCTTGCTTACCTTACATGCGTAAGGCCCCAAGTTTAATCCCCAGTACCATAATACTATCTGTGGTCAGAATCATCTGAATTGAAAAAAGCTCCACTTTCATTTTTTTAAATTGATTTTTGAACTATAGATTATATGGGCTGGGAAGGTGGCTCAGTGGTAGAGCGCTTGCCTCACATGCATGACGCCCTGGGTTTGATTCCTCAGCACCACATAAGCAGTAAAGGCCGGAAGTGGTGCTATGGATCAAGCAGTAGAGCGCTCAACCTTGAGCTGAAGAGCTCAGGGACAGCGCCCAGGCCCAGAGTTCAGGCCCCAAGCCAGCAAAAAAACAAAAACTATAGATTATAAATTATAAGCATAGTTTATGTCTTTGTCTTAGATACTTATTTCATGTTTTGAAACTACTGACATTTTTGTTTTCCAGGGTACCAGGGATCTTAGTCCCCAGCAGATGGTTGTGAGGGAGAAAATTCTTGATACGGTTGTGAGCTGCTTTAAACGTCATGGGGCAAAAGGATTAGACACACCAGCATTTGAGCTAAAGGTAGGGAAAAGAATGCCCATAATGGGGGCTGGGAAGGTGGCTCAGTGGTAGAGCGCTTGCCTTGCATTGCATGCTCAAGGCCCTGGGTTCGATTCCTCAGCACCACATAAGCAAAAAGAAACAAGCCGGAAGTGGCGCTGTGGCTCAAGTGGTAGAGCACTAGCCTTGAGCTGAAGAACTGAGGGACAGGGCCCAGGCCCAGAGTTCAGGCCCCACGACCGGACCCAAAAAAAAAAAAAGAATGCGCATAATGGGCCGAGAAGGTGGTCTAGTGATAGAGTGCTTGCTTGCATGCATGAAGTCCTGGGTTCGATTCCTCAGCACCACATAAGCAGAAAAATTGGGAAGTGGCACTGTGGCTCAAGTGGTAAAGTGTTAGCCTTGAGCTGAAGAGCTGAGGGACAGTGCCCCACGACAGACACACACACACACATAGTTCATTGCCTAATGTGCTTTCAGTGTCCCACAAAATTTCTTAGCTGTGTTCTATAGTTATCCTTTGAACCAGCGCCCTTTCTGTTTGACCCCTTCAGGATATGCTCACGGAGAAGTCTGAAGAGAATTTTGGGCTCATGTATGACCTGAAGGATCAAGGTGGAGAACTACTGTCCCTTCGCTATGACCTTACTGTATCCTTCTGAGTGCTGGAGTCTGACCTCTCTTTCCAGAGCTACAGAGAGTTCTGTAACAAAAGGGAGGAGAGTAACTGTGTGGAGGGATACTTCTATTGGCAATAACCTTTAGTTTTGCTCAGAAGGCAGTTTTGCTGTCTGAGCCTGTCTTGTCCTTCCTTCCTTCCTTCCTCCCTCCCTCCCTTCCTTCCTCCTTCCCTCCTTTACTCCCTCCCTCCCTCTCTCTGGCTCTCTTTTTTTTTGTCGTGGGGCTTGAACTCTGGGCTTGGGCGTTTTCCTTGTGCTCTTCAGCTCAAGACGAGCACTCTACCGCTTGAGCCACAGCACCATTTTCGGTTTTCTAGCAGTTTATTGGAGATAAGAGTCTCACGAACTTTCCTGCCCTGGCTGGCTTTGAACCACGATCCTCAGATCTCAGCCTCCTGAGTAGCTAGGATTACAAGCGTGAGCCACCGGCACCCAGCTTCACTCTCTTTCTTGCTGTCTTTCTTTTTTATTGGTTGTGGGGCTTGAACTTGGCTTGGGCACTGTCCTTGAGCTCTTCAGCTCAAGGCGAGTGCTCTACCGCTTAAGCCATAGTGCTACTTCTGGTTTTCTGGTGGTTTATTGGAGATGAGAGTCTCACAGAGCCGGGCCCTGGTGGCTAAGGCCTGTAATTTTAGCTACTCAGGAGACTGAGAACTGAGGATTGTGGTTCAAACCAGCCTGGGCAGGAAAGTTTGTGAGACTCTTATTTCCAATAAACCACTCAGAAAGCCAGAAGTGGCACAGTGGCTCAAGTGGTAGAAGCGCTAGCCTTGAGCAGAAGAGCTGAGGGACAGTGTTCAGGTCCAGAGTTCAAAACCCAGGACCAACAACAAAACAAAACAAAAATAAAAGAGAGAGCCTTACAGATTTTCCTGCTTAGGCTGGCTTTGAACCACAATCCTCAGATCTCAGCCTCCTGAGTAGCTAGAATTATAGGCGTGAGCCACCAATGCCCGGCCAGTCTGTCTTCTCTCTTCCTTTTTTTTTTTTAAAAAAAACTTTTTGTTTTATTAGTGTATATTCATTGTACAAAGGGTTTCATTGTGATATATCCATGTATATAATATACTTTAATCAAATTGATCTCTTCTTATTATGCTCTTATCCTTTTTGCCACTTAATTTCAGTATTTCTCTGGGGGAAATCTGTAGAAACGGACTGCTGGTTCAAACTCTAGTGATTTCTATTTTTTGTTGGTTGTGGGGCTTGAACTCTAGGCCTGGGCACTGTCCCTCAGTTTTTGCTCAAGGTTAACACTACTGCAACACAGCTCCACTTCTGTTTTGGGGTGTGTGTGTGTGTGTGTGTGTGTGTAATTGGAGGTAAGAATCTCAAGACTTGGGGGCTGGGAAGGTGGCTCAGTAGTAGAGTGCTTGCCTTGCATGCATGAGGGCCTGGGTTCGATTCCTCAGAATCACATAAGCAGAAAAAGCTGGAAGTGGCTGAAGAGCTGAGGGACAGCGCCCAGGCCGAGTTCAGACCCCACAACTGGACCCCTCAAAAAAAAAAAAAAAGAATCTCAAGACTTTCCTATACAGGCTGGCTTTGAACTGCAGTCTTTAGATCACAGCCTTCTGAGTAGCTAGGATTACAGGCATAATCCAACCTTGCTGGCTCAAAAAAATTGCATTTTAAACACACATTCTGGGAGTTAAATGCATGGTCCCTGGCCTGTCCTTTTAGAAATATGGATTGAAATTATTGGCAAA